TTATTATCATTATAATAAATATAGCTCGTCCATCAAAGTCTGATGATGACCAATACACCCACGGAGGAGAATATTTCTCCAGCGAAATAAAAGGGTTTGGAGAATTAAACGTTACGATAACATGTAGCTTCTGCAGTGGCCGATGAGACCAAATATTATTCTGTCAGAGAAAAGTTTGTCACATTTTGAACATTTAAAGGCTCCACTTCAACTTGTGGATGTGTGCAGCCTGCCGGTGTCTCTCTTGGTTTCAGCGTTTCTTATTCTTGAAGCGTTCTAATATGATTTGCTGCCCTCTGTGACTGCTGCTCTCCAGCTGGGTCTGTCAGGAGCAAGGCTCTCCCATGTCGAAGGATTTATGTTGAAGTCCTTCGGAGACATTTTCAGGATGTCTTTGTAACGCTTTTTTTTTTGGAGGGGGGTGGGGGTGCGCCAACCTTAGGCTTCCTTCAGAATTGAACACTGCCTTTGGGGTTCTAAAATCAGGCATTCTTGCGACATAGCCAGTCCAGCGAAGTTTAGTACTCTTGAGCTTAGAATAAAGACTCACGGCATTTTCCACTTTGAGACCGTCGGTATCTAATATTCTATCCTGCCATTTGATGCCAAGAATTTTCCTGAGGCATTTCAAATGGAAATTGAGCTTCTTGGCATGGCGTAAGTACACCGTCCAGATCTCGGTACCATACAACAGGGTTGGGAGGACCACAGCATTGTAGACTTTCAACCTAGTCTCTATGCGAATGCCACAGCAGTCCCAAACCCTTGCTCTGAGTCTCCCAAAGGATGCAGTAGCTTGTACTCATACGTACGGCTATTACTGCATCGATGCGAGCATTAAAGGATAATGTACTGCCAAGATATTTAGTTTAAAGCTGTCAACATTGTTCAGTGTTGTTCTACGTATTTTAATTTTAAGAGGAAGGGTCTGCGTATCACTTGGGACAGGCTGAAAGAGAACTTCTGTCTTTGCTGTGCTTATGAATGCTTTTAATGAAAAGAATATTACAGTTTCATTCCGAAACAAAGGAGAACTCTTTGATTTTCTATGCCTAATGTTATTTGTTGGTTTTTTGTGTTGGTTTTTTTTTTCAAAGCAATACAAAAATCGACAAAAATTATGACAGTGACTGACAAGTAGGTTAATGAAAAAAGGATTCAGATGATGTTATCGTGGTCAGAAAGAGAGCTCAGTAAATGAAAATGGGAGAGGGGGAGGGGGAGGCTCTTTAAGAGCTACCCACGTTGTTATATCCCTAATATGTTCTTATATCCCGAGCGTCTACATGCACAGCAAACAAAAATTTTTATACAGAATTTGTAGATCTATACTTAACTCATAAAGTATATCAGAAAAAAGGAAGTGAGGAAAGGCACAAGAAAACTAGATTCTACCCTTAATGTCGCATTTAATTAAGAGACAAATGTGACAAACATCACTGATTACTGCGAAATGTGTACCTGACTGAAACATCACCAGTTAAAGAGAGTATTCAACTAACTGCCTTGACGTACTACAATTAAAT